GCATTTGAGGGAGATTGGAGGGCCGCCGGGTGTACAGATGACGGGTACGCATTTCGTTGGATCTCACCCCTCTCGGGTATACCACGTATCAGATACATGGATTGTGGGAAATGGAATTTTAATGGATTTGCTTGGCAGATGTTCCACGACTTCCTCACGATGATGCAGACCCCAACGAAGACGAAGACCGCGTCAACCCTGACGAACGGAAACCACGTACGTCCCTTTGACATTCAATGAGCCTTTTTTTTTTCGCATCAACTCGAGGTTAATCCAAAACTGAATTGGTTTGATCATATCTACAGAGCGATTATGGGACAAGCGAATTCAACGGGACGACGAATTTTCTGATTCGGATGACGAAGGGGAAGGGGGAAGGAAGTTCCGGAGTAATGGCGACGTCGAGATGGACATTAGCGCCGCGACGACAATAATGACCGGAGATGGCAAACAACAGACATCTGGCAATAAGCGAACCACCGTCGAAACAGGTGAGGAGCCCAATTTCGCAGGCAGTCAGATGAGCCAAAAAAGAGGCGCCTAGACTAGACCTCCTCATCAATTATCATCACCCCACCCACAAATTTCATCTATTCATATCCCATTCCCCATCACTGCCCCCGATTACACGGATGGGCGCGCGCTCTTCCGATTTTATCGTACTGCAGCTAACACGGACATCCGTTTTAGAGACGAATCAGACCGTTGGCAACAATTTGACAAGACATGGACCAAGCCACACTCTATCCTCGGAGAAGGGCGAGACAGGGCCAGGCCATGTGAAAATGGACGAGGCACGTGGACGATCTGGGGATCCTCCACCGTCGACCACGACGAACGCTAGCAGTGGGACGGGGAGCGGTGGGGCCACTGGGACCAACAGCCAGATGATGAAGGAGGATGTGGGTGGCCGTTTGGATAGTGCCACGGCGTCTAATGGTGCTGGCGGTGTTTCAGCTAAAGATAGAACAGACACGGACGGGGACGTGAGTATGGTGATAGACTGAATGGTATCGAGTATGTGAACCCATTTCTGGGTCTCTGGTGGGCGAGAACGCCCAATCGATACGAGATTTTTCATGATTCTTGTTTGCCAAGTAACTTTGTGTATAGAGAACGATTGATTGGTGTACTGCGAGAATATCACGAGGATGCAGGCATTAATGAATTGCCAAAAAACAGGACGTTCCTGAGTGGGGAGAAGGTGGGAAGGGGTGAATGCATAATGGGTTCTTGCGGGGTGTGCGATGCAACTCTATGACTGACGTATAAAAAGCCCAATCTCATCCGTTCTTCTGATTCCCTCAACCAAGTTTACTACTTGTTCCCCCCCAACTCCCTTTCTCCTCTACCAACGCCGCCACCACCAACGCCACAGTCCTCATGTCGCACCTCACCAACGACGTCGAAAAGGGCAGCCGTGTCCACAACGAGTACCCCGCACCAGCAGCACCCGTCAACACTGGTCTGCGCCAGATTGCCAACCCAGGCCCGTTGGGTCTGTCGGCATTCGCACTGACGACATTCGTCTTGTCACTGGTGAGCACCACCTCTTTCACATTCCCCCATGACCTCGGAACCAATTCACACCTCCGATCGCTACGGGAACCAATCCCATTACCCCCGCAATTGTCCCAACTGACGCGTTTTGCTTTCCTAGGTCAACGTTAATGCTCGCGATGTTCATGTGGTATGTACAAGCGCCGTTTTTATCCCTCTTCCCATCATGTCGTTTTACTTTTTGCGTGGCTTCGCGTTTCGACCTATTCTGCGAACAAATTTCTTGGATGCCACGAATCCGATTCGGCGGTACATTGTCGTAGTTGCAGTCTTCTCGACCTTCTCCTTCACCCCCACCTGCCTCCATTGAATTCCGAAGCGTCGACTGGTACTAAATTATTTTTCTAATCTTCACAGCCCAACGTTGTCGTTGGTCTCGCTCTGTTCTATGGTGGTATGGTCCAGTTTGCCGCCGGAATGTGGGAATTTGTACGTGCACGACTAGCTGGCGTTGATGGCTCGATTGCTGACTTGGTTTCCGTTCAGGCCGTGGGAAATACGTTTGGTGCTACTGCTTTGAGCAGCTATGGTGGTTTCTGGCTCTCGTGGGCTGTCATTCAGATTCCCGGATTCAACGTTGTCTCGGCCTACAATGGTGACGCCCACCAGCTCAAGACGGTGGTCGCCTTCTACCTGTTTGGATGGTTCATCTTTACCTTTTTGATGCTCCTCTGTGTCCTCCGCCACTCTGTTGCATTCATTTTCTTGTTCTTGACCCTCGACCTCGCCTTCCTCATGTTGGCGATCGCCGACTATACGAACAATGTCAGCTTGACCAAGGCCGGTGGTGTCTTTGGTGAGTGTTTACAATATCTATCGAAATGCGATCTCATTTGTTGCAGGTCTTCTCGCTGCGTTTACCGCCTGGTACTGTGCGATTGCCCAATTGCTCACGAGCGACAACTCGTACTTTACCGTACCCTTGGTGTCGCTCCAAAAGAAGGCTGTCTAAAAAATGACGCCACTGCAGATCCGTTTTCCGGGGAGGTGATCATGTGGAAAAAAGATATTTGTTTTCCATTTTTTTTTCATCCTGTAATATAAGCGTATCGGCCGTGTGTTTGCATAGTGACCCTTTTGGTAATGGAATTTGATCTTATTCCATGCGTCATCAGTCCCTAGCTGAGTCGGTCACTTGGTGGTCTAGTTCCATGGCCCCCACGAGTGGCGCTGGGTCGTGCCGAATGTTCTGCCGGCGACCGCTGTGGAGCCTTGGCGACCGCATCCACGCCGAAAAAGGATGAGAATGGTGATTATCGTGCAGACACCAGGTGACATGCACGAGGAGAGTGATGCTGAATTTTTTGTGAATTTTGGGGATGGAGGGTGCAATGGGGTGGATGGCTGTGGTTGGCCCCAACGAGCGAAGAGGAGTGCAATTCGAATATCTGTGCAAAGACCTCCACTTCGAAATGACTCCACAGCCGAAGCCAGCTCCAGCATGCTGATGGGACCCATTCAATTGATTGCTATACGGCAACCCAAGTCCGCACATTGACTCGCTGACCATCCTCGCTCGCCTCTGCTCCTCCTTTGGCTCTCTGTCCATGGATCCCATCTTGATCTCCAACCACATTCATCCCCTCCCTCACCCCCTTTAGCGGCCAGCTTTTATTCACTTTAAACTCTTACCCCCGGTCGCTTATCCTCGGACAATTTTTGCTTATCAGTCATTCACGTTCTCGCATCAATTCATCTCTGATCGGTATATTAAAAGTACACGTCAGGATCTACTTAGCCAGTGCACTGTGACCCTCCTCTCTCATTTTTCACTTTTGAACCCCCTCCCTCCCCTCGGTGGTGATTGCATGCGAGCAAATGCCAGACTCCTCCCCAGTGATCGGCTCTGCGCTCCCCCAACAAGGTGCAGTGTTGTCTGCCGAGACCCTGCTTGCCATTCGGAAATATAACCAAGAGGTCGCCTCGTATACCCTCCGCCAGTGGAATGTCGCCAAGTTGGAGTCGGAGCGAAAGGAGAGGGACCGTCGTAAGCGGCGCGCAGACGCCTTGGCGCAGCGGGCCGCCAGCAATGGGACTAATAATACTGGTGGCGTTGGTGCTGGTGGATCTCTATCGTCTGCTACGCCTGGTGGTGGAAAGATGATGGGCCATGGGCTGGGGTCCGTTCGTGCGGGCTCCAGACCACCCCCTTCGGACCGGGCGCACCCTCATCATCCTCATCAACACAACCACCACCACTATGGGCCTCCTGATTCAGATGGTCCGCTGATGATGGTCAGCAGAAGGAAGACCGATAGAGCCTTGTCCGGTCCCACCTCGACAGCGCTTCCATTCGGTCAGCGACATTCGCACGACGGGCGCTACCCACCACACAACCAACTCCACCAGCACAAACCGTATCCATCACAGGACCTTTTGGCTATCGAGCAACGACCGACGCACCACCAGGCTTCGGTACGTGTCCCTCCCTCTCCCCTCTCAAGATAAACCTCGTACCCTTTCGGTGCTCTTCTCTTTGGAAATTGTGAGATGACTAACCCTTTTGCTATTCATCGTCCACTCTCTCCCCTTTGCCCCCCTCCTCACTCACTTACCCTGTCTATTGTACATTGACTGCACTTTGGGGTGGTTATTGAATCTTGATACAGGTCTCTGCAGGACCACGACTGCATACGCGGTCTTACCAAATTGCCGCTCCTATCCCTTCTTCGGTTCACGTACCGGCAGCAGCAGCAGCAACTTGCCCGCCTCTCGATCCCAACACTGCGCACCCGTTTGATCGCCCGGCGACTCAACATATTGAATCTGTGGCAATAGGGTTGGCGGGAGAAGCAGAAGATAAGGAAGACGTTCTTCTTGATGAGCCGCTAGTCACACCGCCTCGTTCGTGGCAGCGCCGTCTATCTGGGTCCACACCTCCCATCCCCATTCCCGCCCCTCGCCAGCAACAACACCCATATTATCACCATTCGCGCTCTCATTCTCAACCGTGCTCGAATGGTCAACAGGGTGTAGGGTTGAGCGGGAGCAGTGCCGCTTCGTCCGTGTCTGCGCAGAGTCATAGTCCACATATGACGAGCGGGAGTAGCCGGTCGAGCTCATCACACCTCTCCCGCCATAGTCCACCCGCGCGAGCGTTAGGGTTCAGCGCTCACTTCGGGATGACGAGTATATCCCATGGTGCGGCTAGTGTTGGTGCTGGTGCTGGCGTGGCGTCAACGTCGGTTACGACCACGAGCGATTCGGCGTCTTCGTCTAATCCTACGTCGGAGGGGAGCTCGAGGATCAGTTCGTATAGCGAGTCGACGCTTCGGCAGTCGCTCAAAAAGGACGATGATCCGGTCAGTGCGAGAGAGAAGAGCGGCCGGCCTAAAGCTGTCAATAGCTCGTCGTCCAAGGGCTGTGGTGGTTCGGTCAATACGGTAGAAGGTGCGATTGGGACGTTGAGGAGGATGACCATCTCTGAGGAAGAAGAATCCGTTCTCGGGCCTCTGGATCATTAAAAAAAGGATCTCTGCTTGTCTA